AAAAAAAAAAAAAAAAAAAAAAATTAGGAAAATATTCTCAGTGTTAAATTTGGCTACTGAAATTTCTAACAACTTGGATTACCATTGTTATGTAGTTGATAAAGGTTAAACTGAATTCCCACTGCTACTTTGCTTTTTCCTATAGCTTTTCAGTGGGATTACTCACCATCCCACCCAACAGGAGTGAGGAATAAGCAAGATACATAGGTCAGGAGATCCTATACAACATACTCTATGCCAGGAAATCCACTAATGTTTTAGTATGCCTTGGAAGAGCATCTCTGGTTCTTTCGAGGGACAATGTGAATAATAAAATTTCGAAATAAATGTATTACCATAGTAATCAGAGCCAGATGTTATATCACACCCCTTATACACATTATCTTATTTAACCTGCACAGCAATGAGATATAAGCAGTGTGATCACTGTTTCACTAGAGAGGAACCTGAGGTGCCAAGAAATGAAGTCACACTGCTTACAAGTGGCAGAGCTAGGATTTGATCCAAGAGTGGTGGGAATGAGCTTGGTGTGTGTGTACATGTGAAGGGGATGAGAGAAAATCAATTAGACTAAGTTTCTATTGGCTACCATTTATTTAACACTTAAATAAGTGTTACGTAAGTGTCAGGTCAGAACATCAGACATCTGTATCCACTATGCTATGCTCAGCTTATGCCTGAAATATATGGTGGCACTCCCTAAATGATCTCATCCTGGAGGTTAGCGGAGTGTGGTTGCTTAAGAACACAGATTTTAGAGCATAATATATTTGGGTTCGAATTCTGGTTCTGACATTTGGATGACTTTTGCAATGTGCTTTACCTTGTTTTTCCACCTGGAAAATGGGGACGATAATTGCTACCTCAAAGAACTATTGCAGGAATCAGGTGAGAAAGTGTTTCTAAAGAGATCAGGGAGAGGCACAATTGGTGTATCCGCTGACCATCACACCCTTGACAGCCTCGCTTGGACTTTCTACTTCTAGGAAACCTCCCCATCACTCCTTTACACGTTCATATTCCCTTTCTCCAAACCAGGCACTGCCAGTGGCTTTTTGATGAGATTATACATTGTTTTGAATTTCATGTTACTGCTTTGCGTTGGACATGTTTTACCCAACAAAAATGTAAGATCTAATAAGGCAGAAATCATATCTATCTTTATATCTTCCATTATACTTTGCACAATATCAAACATGCATTCATCCATTTATACATTCATTTATTACACGAACAGGCCCTGCACTCTACAATGTGCCAGACGTGAAAGGCACTGGGGGCAGAGCAATAAGCAAAATATTCACAGCCCTTGTCTTCCATCCAACCTAACCATACAATTATAAACCATATACGGTGTCTTATACAAAAAAGAACCAGATCTTTCAAGATCTAATTTAGATCAGGAGAGAGGGTGGGGGAGGCATCCTTGCAGACAGACACTTAAGCTGAATTTAGAGGGATGACTAGCCAGGTAAAGAATGAGGGAAGAATCCTCTATGCGGAGGGCACAGCCCGTGCGAAGCACCTGGGTGGGAAAGCACCGTGCATTGTGGTGCGTGCAACAAGGCCACGTGGGAGATGCGGTTGGAGAAGCCGGGGCGTGGATCACACAGGCTGTGTTGAAGAGTAGACTGTATCCCAAGTTCAGTGGGAAGCCTTTGAACAGAAGACTGACAAGCAGTAGGTGTGCAATAAATACTATTTTAATTAAATTGCCAGGATCTATCCTGAGTATTATATAAGTAGGGGGAAAAAATCCAAACACTTAGAAAGTAAAACTAGTACAGTAGCAAAGTTCATTCCTGTTTCTGTGGTTTTCCAGAGTTTACAACATCTTAGTTTTCCATGAAGAGTGAACATGGCCAATAAGACTCAAAGCTAAAATCCAATGTTGACCTTAGATACGGTTTTACAAACTGGTTAAAATCTACAAGATTCTCCCATCCTAATCCCACACACCTTGGTACATAAATGGCAAATTAAATTAAATTTCACATGCTGGGGTGTGTGACATTTCTACCAGAAAATCAAGCTATTTGGGATTTTATGGTTCTTTTCTCCTTACCTGCTTCATGGGACGGAGGGAACCGATTGTTTTCCATCCACTGAATGCTGTCCAATTTGGGATCTCATTAGGCTCAAGTAGGATTTGCCTTCCCAAGAAATTGGATCCTTCATAAGCTATCCATCTGTAAGAGGGCAAGAAAGAAAAAAATAGGCTACTTCAAAACCAAAAAGCAATCTCGTATCAAAAATACTTGCTATTATACCTTACAGGGTTCATAAGCTGCTAGGTTTGCAGATTTAAAAAAATAAAATAAAATAGAATTACGCATTTTTTCCTAGCAGAAAAATCAGAGAGGTCTAGGAGAAGGCCCGCTGGATTGGAGTCAGAATATATGGGTTCCAGTTAGAATATGGGTTTCTGTACTTCATGAACGTGAGGTTCCTTCCATCTCTGAAATTCTGTATTCTTTTGATAACACTAAGTCTTTTTCCGTTGCATTTTAACATTCAAAGACAAACCATAACCTCCCACTTCAGGAGATAAAAACACTGTCCTGCTCTCAGGGTCATCATCACGTGTCCTTCAGGGCCTCTCAGGTGGCTCCAGTGACCTCTCCAGACATACCTTTGTACACAATTCCTTCCACAGCTTCCCCAAGGCCACCCAGGGCTACTTAAACACTTAAACAATTATCCACAGGAGTCCTCCATCTCACTCACTTTTACTTCAAGGCCTGGCTTCTTTGCAAATCCTCCCTGAAACTCCTGCCTTCCACTCTGGCTGTGTTAAAGTGTATAAAAGTGTACAGGGCCTCAAAGTGAGTGTCTGGAGTCTCAAGACTTATTTAATGGAACACGGTCAAGCACGTTCCTTCACGGACTGGCTATACTGCTCTTTCACTACCACAGCAACTTCAGTAGTTGTGGACAGAGACAGATAGACCATAAACTAAAATGACTATCTGGCCCTTACTGAAAGTTTGCCGAGCCTTGCTTTAGGCGGCTACCAAGGTGGATGGCTAAGGAGAATGAGCTACAATTGCCAAGAGAACCTGAAATTCTCAGGAGAACTCAAGGTCACTGTACACAGGACTTTAAGAAAACGTGCAGAGAACAAGGTAGCTGTCTTGCTTTGCTCAGACAAAGCACCTAGAAGTGCAGCAGGGGCTGCCCTGCCTTCGACTCACGGATGTGTAACCTTGGAAAAGGGGTCCAGAGTACCAGCAGCAGGAAAGGGGGTCTGCCAGTCAAACGGACCAGTGCTCTGCAATGGGTCATCTGGAGTTTAGGACTCACGCTACAAAGAGCTGCTGCTTTGCTGTTGTGGTGGTGACTTCGGCCTACCCCTTGTCCAGATGAAAACTTCTAAAACTTACAAAGGGCGATACTTCTTAGGGACTTGTACCCCCATTCGTGCAGGAAAAGACATCAACTTGTCCATAAGTTGAGGGGAGAATGAAGGAACTGAGGTAAGCTCGACGTATTAATCTATGGAAGCTTGGGTAGACATTACTGACTTAAATTGACCATTACTAGCAAAAGTCCACCTGTTCCCTACAACAGAGATCAGCCTTGGCCAAATTATGGATAGATGAACAAGATGGTTGACCCTTCCTCAACCCCTTCTTGCCTACATGAATCTAAACAATTAGACTGTGCAGATGCAGGTCAGCATGACCACAGAGAGGCTTAGCCACCTCTCTAGCTTCACAGGTTCTTTAAATAGGCGTGGAAGTTTCAGTTACAAAACCTAGGCAAGATTTTAAGAAACCGTACCTAATAATAATTGATCTAAACGAATGCACAGTTGGAAAAACAGTGTGGGATGGTGCATTAAAGCATGGCCCTCATCACCATCACAGATCAAAGGTACAGGATCACGTGGGGATTAAAAAACAAAACAAACCCAACTTGTCACACAGGGTGGCTGACTGTGCAGTAAACACTATCCTGTAAACCATGTGCAGCCTGGAATATCTCTGGACAGCCTTCACTATTTCCTTATTCCATGTACCAGTTCTCTTTTAGAAAATCTGGAATACTGAGAGTAGGTGGATAATAAGCCAAAGAGAAGAAATCAGAATGTCAAGCTGAAATGGCACCAGTTTTCCAGAAAAGAGTGAAATAGGAGAGTGAGAAATTTTCAGAGGTGAGTCGCATATCAATTTCACTTGAAAATATAAAGAAATGTATAAAAATGTGGTGAAGGTCCTATATCACAGGGATGTAAAATTAAGTTCAAATGCTCTTAGTTAACTAGTAAATAATATATTGGAATCTTATTGCTTAGAGTAAATGCATTTGTTATAATAAACATCAAACCATATGAAATGCTTTGCAGAAGAAAATTTAAGCTATTACATGTGAATAATATAAAATCCATTTATTGTAATAGTTGACTTAATTTTGAAATCGACTTACATTCTTCACTTTGTCTTTCATTATCCCACATATTTAAAAAGCAGAGTTGATTATCACACAATTTAAAAGTCATAAGAAATTTTTTAAAAGCTATTTTTATATTAACCATTGAAAGCTATGTGTTTTATTAGTTGACTTTTGGAACCAAAAGACCAACAGTGCAGGAGTAGGGGCTGGCTTATATGCCAAACTCTTCAGAAATGGCCTGAGAGGCAGATTTTCCAAGAAGCAAATAAAGCTTCAACTCCAAGGCCCCTCACTTGCAGGCCTCTGACCATTTGTGTTCTAAATTAATACGTTCAATACCTATTAATAATTTTTGTATCCATAATGTATTTTTTCTTAAAGGCATCTTCCCAAATTGTAAAAGCACAGGCCCCACACAACTTGGATCCACTCTGATAGTCTACCACATGAAAATGAGTGCTCTGGAGGAACTGCTTGAGAATAAACATGCTATCAAATCAAAATACAGACATTCTTGCCAACAATCATTTGCCTTAAGTGGACAATGGCCTTAACCAGTCAAAGTTGCTCACTTACTGAAATTTCTCCTGAAAGAAAAGTTGGCTTAATGGGGTAAAGTCATCTGGTTGACCTACTCCAGGACACATGCTCTGACCATGAGGTGGCCCTTCTATCCCAAAGGGTTCTTCCCCCCAGGCCACTGCAGACTTCTACATACTAGACAAGGTTCACAGTCTTCTCTTATTTAAACAGAAACTACTACATCAAGGGATAAAAGGAGTAAGAGCACCATCAGACCAAAATAACAGCACTGGGCAAATAAAAAGCAACTGTGCAACTCTGTCCCAAAACAGTGACCAAGTAAGACCAAGCCTTCCTCCCATACTTACAGTCCACTTTTAACCCACACAGACTGGGTGTAGAAGTGCAGGTCCTTGTTCAGAACAGAGTTCACTGCCTCTTCTAGATGTAACTCTCTTCCCTCACAATGTTCCAGAGCAAAAAGGCTGATGGAGGGTTCTTCAAAAACCTAATAGCACAGAAAAGAGAAAGCATCACCAAATGGGGTGGCCATACCTCACCGACATCTCAGTCTGAACTCAGGGTCCCCTGGATCCATTGTATTCTCAAATGCATAGAGTTTACTGCTCTGTCTTCTAAGGATGGTACAGTCAAAACTACACTGGCAAGATTAGATTCTATTAGTAATTTTAATATGCTTTTTATAAATTAAAATTGAAGCTATCAGAAAAGCAATCAATCTTATAATAAAAATGACACAATAAAAAGCAACAGCTGGTTCAAAATCACATATTAAGGTCTTGTGGTGCTGTAATATGGACAACAAACTACTCCTGTGAATGCTTTTAGCTGGCAACAGAATAAATATGGAACGGCATGGCACCCTCATTTCCCAGGGGGTCATAGGAGCAATCACTGAGAATGTAAGACTTCTCTTAAAAGACATTCCTAGGAGGGAGGAAAAGGCAACTTTAATTTAAAAAATAGCTAGAATGCACAGGAACAGTGATGATTTCTGCATTAAAAGTAAGTATTGCCTCAACCTATTATGTTAGATGAGAATAGACTCAATATTGCTCTTTTTTATTCATTAGTATATGTAAGATACCACGCGAAGGGACTTTTAGGGGATGAGAAATCAAAACAAGACACCATCCTTGTGTCTGGGGCATTACTAACAAGTAGCTAAATTAAGAGAATTGCACAGATATTGTAACATAACCCAGGGTAGAAAAGGATATAACCTTTAAGAGTGCTCATTAAAAGGCTAAATTATTTTTAGCAGAAGGGAGCAGGAATCGAGGCAGCTTCATGGATGTGGTGGCATGTGAGCTCAGTCTCAAAGGATGCGATGGATTTGGAAGGCAGACAGAGAACAGAGGGAAGGCAATCTACGCAAAGCAAAGGAGACAGAAATGCATGCGACATGGGGGAACAGCAAGTAGACCCATTTCGACAGAAGACAGAGACCAACAGGAAATAGTGTCGAGTGCTCCCACTGTCTGAGTCTGTTACTGTGCATGGAGCTGCCTGCCTCCTGTCCCACACTGACAGGGCAGAGACACACTTATTGCCAATGGAGAGTCCTTGAAGCTTCTGAACTAAGGACTGAGAGTGGGCAGAGGTATCTGCAACTTGCCACATGAGAAGCAGAGCACGAGGAGCAAAGACTGTGGAGGGTCAAAGAACAGTGAATAAACAGAAAGCAACTGGCTCTCGCAAGTGACCTATGAGAGCAAAATGACTTATCAAACAGTTATTCCTTGCAGCAGTGCTAGGAATAGTGAAGGATGGGGGAGGATTTAAATGCCCATGAAGAGGGAACTGGTTAATAAATTAGGGTACATTCATGGAAGAATCCTATATAGCTGTAAAAAGAATGAGGAGCTCTTTGTAGAAAGATAACCAGGATCTATTCTTTGGAGGCAAATACAAAGTGAAGGACAGTGTAAAATAGTATATTTCATATGCTACCATTTTGTAGAAAAGGAAAACTTATGCACACACATATGTGCTTGTATACACATTTAAAAATTTCTAAAAAAATAAATATAAAACCAGTAACAATGACTACCTGTTGGGAAGATAGCATCTGAGAAGATAAACAGTGCAAATGGGGGAGAGTTTTTCACTGAATGCCTTTTGGTACTTTTTGATTTTTGAACCATGGGAATATATTATTAAAAAAATTAAATTGGTGATTATTATGCATATGTTTGCACTGTGTATATGCATTTTTTTTTAAACAGCCTTCTGGAAATTTATTTGGCAACAACTTGAGTAAAGAACACAGAGAATGGAAGTAACAGCACCAGTATACTGGTAGAATATGTGAAACCAAAGGAAAAGAGAACCAGAGGGATGGGAGGAAGGTGAGGAATGAGGGATGGTCATGAAAGCCATCATGGTGGTAAAATAGACACACCAAGGCAAATGAATGGAATGAGTAAGTGAGGGAAATGGTGCGAAAAGTTGCAGCTGGGAAGATGGTGGCATAATTTGCCATACATAAGGAAGTCAGGAGGAAAAGCATGCCCAGGAGTTAAGCACTTATATTTAGAACTGGATGTTTTAATTTTGAGATAGAGGCAGGATAATCTTAACAGAGATGCCCAATGTACATTGGACCTTTTGATCTGGAGTTCAGGGAAAAGACCAGGCATAGACAGGTTGAGTTTAGGAACTCCCAGAATTTGGGTAATAACCAGAAGCAAAGGTGAGAAAATGGAAATGGAAGGAGGACACAGGACTGCAGGGACATACACTGGTGGGTGGGGATGAGGAACAAAAGGTGGAGAAGGTGGAGGTGATGGAACAAATGAACCAGGTGAGAAGAGCCAAAACAGAGCCCCCTTGACATGATGGAAGTAAAGGGGGGAGATAATTTTAAGGAAGGTTTGTCCCACAGTATCACACTCTTCCCACGTTGAGGAAGAGGGCGACTGAGAGGAGGCTGTTTGGATTTGGCACTCAGGAGGCAGCTGGTAACCCTATGAGAGCTGGTTCAAGGACAGGTCAGAGATAAGGGGTGGAATCTAGATCATAAAGGTTGAAGAACAAGTGGTGAGAAATTACACAGATTACATCTGTCTGTGACAGATTACACAGACAATTCCTTAGAGAAATTTGCCCTCCCTGTTGTTCTTAAAAATTATCTTGGCTATTCTGGACCTGTATCTTTCCCAGATTAATTTTAGAACAAACTTGTCATGTTTTACTCTCCCCAGCCCCCCACCAACTCCACCTCCCCAAAAGACAAAAGACCTATAAGCCTAAAATACTATTAATTTATAAGCCTAAAATACTATTAATTTGGGGAAGACCATATGCTTATAATATTGAGTCATTTTATTTATAAAAGATTATATTTCTCCATCTTTTATGTCCTTCAATAAAGTTTTTATAATTTTCCTCAGAAAAATCTTACTGCTGTGTTAGATTTATTCCTAAGCACCCTATAGTTTAATTGCTATTTATCTTGTATCTGGCAACTTTTTAAAAATTCACATTAACCCTAATAATTTATCATTTAAACTGTACATACTCTTCTCAGTTTTGTTTTCCTTTATATTCTCTTTTGCTTTATATTTTAGATTTTTTTTTTTATTGGCTAGGATTCCAGAACACTGTTGCACAGAGTAGTGATAATAGAGACCTTTGTCTTCTGCCTGAATTTAAAAAGAACTACTTCAAATGTCACACGAGGAAGTGTGATGTTTACTGTAGGTTTCGGTTGGCCTTCATTTTGAAAATGTGCACAACAGTTAATATCATTAACTATTTAACTGTTAAGCTAAAAGCTTTAATAGTAACCAAATTCTTCTACACTTTATAAACTCATTGCTCCTTTTCATTGTGAAGCTGGATTTATAGTCTTTCTCTATTTGTAGCTGTGCCTCTTCAGTATCCTCGCGCAGAAGGAATCAGTCTCTTGCCAATTCTTATTCTACCCTCTTAAGATCATTTATGTCATCACAGTCTTAATTTCATCTGAAGTTTTTCTACAGCCTCTTGTTAAAATGTCTCTTTGGCTTTGCCTGCTTGTAGCTGCCAGGACTGGATTATTATTTCAAAAAAGGCCAAACTTCCATGCCAAACCCCCATGGAGACATTACAGAAGCAACAAGCAGACTACTGCTCCCATGGAAACACAATAACAGCAGGTTACCCCACACACTAGTGGGTCAGTGCTTAAATGTCTTCCAAGGTAGTTTGAAACTCAGTTACCTTCCTTCTTAGGTCAATCGACAGTTACTCACGTATCCTGTTCTTGTCTATATGTACCATTACTTTTTAATATCCGGTCTGACTTTAAACCATTTTATCAGTAGCTGGCCACTGTAAATTACTATTTTTTAAATTAGGTTCCCCACCCACCCCCAACTTCTAAAGCTACTATTACAACATTGTAAGTGGATAAGACAAAGTACACCCCTCTTATAGAATGAGCTGAAGTGGAAGAACAAACCTTATATAAGTACTGATTGTAGTTTTTAGGCCTGAATGAATTAGTTTATTTAGTGTACTTATTACGTAATGGATTCTTGACATTTTTATGGCGCTGTGCTAAGTAGAGAGGACACAGGGGTCCTCTCAAAGCTATAAGAAATATAGATCATGCCCTCAGTGGCTTCACAGGTTCGGTAGGTGTGATGAAAGGTAGAAAGTGAAAAGCATCTTGAGATACAGAGAAAGAATACTCAGGGCAGAGGAAAATCATATCAAGAAATGAGGATCATTGAAGACTTTCTAGAATTGGGGTTCTTTCATGTATATCTTAAAGGATTTAGATAGGGGAAAGAAAAAGTATATTTTAAGTTGCCACATGAACAACATAAATAGAGAAAGTTCAAGGAAGATACTAGGAAGGGGGAGGGGTGCTTTGTGAACAGGATATGCAAAGATTGAGCAATAATATTGAAAAGTAGGTCAGACACTATCTCAGAGTCTGGACTTTATCAGAAGGTTACATGCTCAAAGCTACAAATAAGATGAACTGAAGAAGAAAGAGCCAAAAGAAGAAAATCACTTAAGCGACCATCACAATAGTTTGGGAAAGAGAGAATGAGGCTCTAAACTTGGTCATGGAAGTGGGAAGAAGATGACAGGAAAAATTTAAGACATGTTATACCTGAAACTATAAAAATACTAGAAGAAAACCTAGGGAAAACTCTTCTGGACATTGGTCTAGGCAAAGAATTCATGGCCAAGACCTCAAAAGCATAGGCAACAAAACCAGAAACAAACAAATGGGACTTAACTAAACTACAAAGCTTCTGCACATAAAAAGAAATAATCAACAGAGTGAACAGACAACCTGCAGACTGGGAGAAAATATTTGCAAACTATACATCCAATGGGGGACTAATATCCAGTATTTATAGGAACTCAAAGAACTCAACAACAATGAAAAAGCAACTAACCTCATTAAAAAGTGAGCTAAGGACATGAATATGCATTTTTCAAGATGACAAATGGCAAAAAAGCATAAAAAAAGTTCAACATCAC